TGGACTCCGGCGGGAACCCCTGATCCAACATGGGCTACTAACCAACCAACCATGGGAAATCTAGCCAGCGCATTAGCCTTTCGATCGAACATGTCACCTAGCATCGTTTTAGCTGTGTCTGGTAGCTTGCTCCGAAATATGGTAGTCAGAAAAAAGTGTCCAAAAAGAGACCGAGTGGTCGTGATTGTTTTTTAAAATATATATAACAGAAAAACAGTTGAAGACTACAGTGTCACGGCAAAATAATGCGTGAAACCTGTATGGGAAGTCCAAAATTGCAAGTAGATGTGTTTCATGCAGAGGAGAGGAAGAAAGACTGGGCGGGGAAAGCGCGCAACGGGTGAGATCACGCCCCGGTATAGAGAGATAAGAAGTAGACATAGAGTAAACCGACAGGATAGGCCACCAGACTGCACCGATTCTGCAGCTCCCCCATCGACAGCATTTTGCCCGCACTGTAGGCAGACCAAATCGTGCCCAAAAACTGAAACGCATGCACGGTAAGTTACATAAAGCACACAGCTTACCGCGACAAATATTCCGAAGCCATGCCAGGCTATTAGATTGAAGAGTGAACTGACAGCACACATGAGAAACTGTGGCAAGAGGCAATAACCAATCACTCCAAGGCACTGGGCGTATGCAACCTAAAAGAAAAGATTTCCAAGCAAACCCTAACTGACCTCGCCTCCCAGAGAACGGGTAATGAAGTATACAATAAAAGATCCAGCCAACCATATTGCAATTATCCACGAAACAACCTGGCAATAGGGCGTTTGAGGACAAAAAAGGAGGCAGTTACTCGAAGTTGGCCAACCAAGGAGACGATAGAGAAAAGAACGACGACCAACAGGGGTCCCCAAAAGTCGGGATTTTCACGAACGGCAGTTGGATCGAGGCCAGATTTCGCGCAGGGCAAAATCACGGCTTTCATCTTTTTGGCGATGTTGTTGACGTCGATGTCCAGCTCGTCACTAGGGAGAAAGCAAAAGAAATTATTGCATAC